TTGGCAAATATCTTCACTTCCAACATAAAAAAAACCTGCTGCTGCTAGCACTGCAGGATTAATGGTTCCAGCCCATCCTTTTTCAAATGTACTGATACGTTTTTCATACGAATTGTATTCACTAAAATCTATAGAATATTCTTCAGCACACATATTCATACAGCGCAGCGGTACGATCAGTATTATTCTATATTGCATAGGCGTGTATTATTATTTATATACATATATGGCACATATATCATAAAACACTCATACTTCTCGAAAGTCACACATGACATACGTCAACAAATTCCTAGTAGTTCACTTTCCTTAGATAGTTATGTTCAGTCGTAGCCAAGCTGTGTTCGCAACAACTAGTTACCATGGAAGAAAATTCTGCTCAAAATCTGGAATTGACACATAATTATGTACATTCAGTAAGTTTTATTATCATGGTTACATAAAAATATACATTAGCTAATTCGTTCATTTTTTTTTTCTTGTAGGCTGATAGTTTTGATATGGATGAATTCTTAATCGGAAATGATATTTTTAATAATTCAACCACCATTGATGTATCGCCAACAGCTCCTGCAAATCGTAATGCTGGAAAGGATATGCAACAGTTGGTAAACAATTATATTGAAGAGCAAAGCAGTCCTACAGATGATATGGTTATTGTGACTCATAGAAAACATGTGAACAACGATGAACTGCGCATAATTAGAGGTTATCTACGAAAAGTCAACAGACTATGCGAAAAGAAATTCAGTGAAGTTTCAAGAAAATTAAACAAGGAACGTAAAAGACTACAAACACTGAAACAAAAAGAACGTACTCAGTTACAAAAAATCAAGAGACTGGAGAAATGTGAGAAATTTGCATCCAAAATGACTAAACGTCTAAAAATATCTGCAAATGACTAAGTACTATATATATCTACATACAATGTAATCTTTTCAATCATCAGTCAACCACTGAACTGTGAACATTTAATTAAATGCAATAATGACGTCACACACTAATAATCAACGGGTAATAAAAGTTCTCGACTTCACTGTACCAGTTCAAGAAGATGGAACATTTTACATATACGTAATCTATCAACACGACAAGATCGTGCTACAAGAATACCCAGCGTTCTATTACGATGGAACGCCAGGTGGCTTGCCATTTGGTACAGTGATTAAAAACGAAGACAACCGAACTATAGGGTATGTGATCGGACATCACTTAAATTATTATCCTATAACGACGATGAAAGACAACTTATTACATTGCGGTAGATATGGACTGCACAAGCTAGTCGGTCATGGTGGAAAACTAGAGTATCGAGATCAAGAGTATACAGTGGAAGAATTTAAGAAAAAGTTTCCCAGAATAGCAAAACAAGATGTACAATGTTTTGTTTATGCATAACGTACCTCAAAATAAAGATAGATAAACTCCTTACAGCGTATCGTTTATTCTCTACTATCTACACCCCCTCACCTACCCCCCCAGTAGTTGCGTATCGTTTATTCTCTGCTATCTACACCCCCTCACCTACCCCCCCAGTAGTACGCTCGCCAGAACGAGCCCCATGCGCATGCGCACGCGCGCGCGCGACTAAGGGGGATGGTGGCAAAAAGGCGTTGAAAAACGACGGTTTTTTTTTTGTAATTTGGTCTAGAGTGACTGGTCTAGAACGTACTTTGGTCCAGAACGTGTAGTGGTCGGGAACGCCTATAAGTTTTACGGTACAATTTCACATGCTATTTTAGGTGGTCGGGAACGCCTCTAGATGTACTACTGTTATCTCGAGGAGTGTCCAACTTCATGGGCACATAATGATTCTTTTCAAAACGCTAAGAATAGATAGATAGACAGATAGATAGATAGTTTATTGTCCTATTAGATCATGTTACATCATATAAGACTTGTCAATATCAATTTGAAGGTCATATATGCGTTTGAGCAAATATGCCAGAAAAATACTTGTAATTATAAAATAAATAAGGACATTACAATTACAAAACATTTTAAAAGGTTAAATCACATTATAGGTACAGCTCAAGAATTGTAATGTGTTCAACCTGTAACGGTAAAAATATATACATATACAGTGACTTTTTTTATCACAAAAAATGTTCGTCTAGCCGGTAAAAATCATTGAAGCTGATACAAAGAAAAGCGGTAGGAGAATCTGTTAGAAATACATAATAAATAAACACAACAAACATCGAGCAGTGAGGACAAATGGTTAAAAGCTTAAAAAGAAAACATACATACTGTCGTTCAAACTCGAATAAAAAGTGAAATTAAAATACATTTACTCCACGATAATAGACAATTCACTGATAACGAAATGATTAACAGCTTAAAAGAATTTAAAAACAGATACTTTCATGTGTTGGTAAAACTCATGTAGTGAGTAAAAGCATTTTTCAACCAGATATTTTCTGTTGTTTTTTCAGCGCAAGGATATTAGTGCTTCTCCGCAACTCACTCGGCAGATTATTGTATACCTTAGTGTACGCTAGAGTGGGAGATTTTTTGAATAGGGCAGAGTTATGTGTCGGTATACTCAGATCATGCCCTGTTCTAGTGTTGTATTGATTATTAATGGCGTTGTTACGAACAAATCTATTGCTATGTTCAAATGCGAAGATGGCACATTTGTAGATATAGAAGTTAATGTAAGCAGATTATAGCGTCTAAATATTTCTTTACAAGAGTCCCTCTTATTAATATTAAAGATTAATCGAAGTACTCTTTTCTGCAGGATGAATAATCTGTTAGATTGCAAATACTGAGAGCTGTTAACGATACGGCACAAATAGCCGTCAAGTTAATACAAGATTTCTATGGCTTAATCACTGCTGATGAGGAGCAATAGCAATTTTTATTACGTTGCATACAAGAACACATTCAGGTATATAATGACTGTAAAAAGAAAACTTTGAAAACGCAAATTTGGTGAATAATATTCCTTTAATGGTAGTTATCTACGGAATATGTGATACAAATAAAGCAGTGTTTTATTTGTCGAATAAGAATTAAGTCTTGAAATCCATACATGGTTTCCCTATTAACTTTCAAATACAGAGTTTCACCGAAAGTTATCGTTCCCCGATCGCAATATTATTTATTTTTTGAGTTGTTAGAGTCAAACGAAAAAAAAATAGAGGATACACGTATCTCAATTCGAACAAAAATTCGTTGGCCCTCATAGAATGGGGTACCCCAATGTACACCCACCATATGCACATCAAGTTTTGGCAATACTAACGAATGGTTAAACTGATTGGATGCTACAGAAAAATCCAAATAAACAGAGTCCATCTGCTGACCTTGCTCAATTGAATTGCACAAATAGTTACTGGATAACATCAAGTTGGTACAACTTGACTCACCCTGACGAAAACCATGCTCCTGATTGACAATAACGCTCTTAAATTATGTTAGTGCAGCACTCTGAGCGCTCGTGAACGTCAACAGTCGCGTTTAACCAGTCAGTACTATGCATCATCTTACAACACTACGAAGGTTTAATACTGCCGTTTGTTGTCGAAAAGGTGCGAGATGGCTTGCCCTTGGCACTGTCTTTAACGGCATGCTTGCTGAGGTAAGAGAGCAATTCCCGGTCTTTGAAGTTAAAATTTCATAATGATAGTTCGTCGTTCCGTATTATAACACAGACTATAAAATTCAGTGCAACAAACTAACAAGATATTTGATTATATGTGATAGAGAGTCTAACCATGTCTATAAAATTTCTTATAAACATTGGAGTGATGTAGAAAAGTATCAAGTTACATACAGGGTGTTTCAGAAAGACGTGTCAATATATCTAGGATAGAAAGCACATCTAAAAATAACCAAAAAAGTTTTTATAAATATGGGTCCAAAGATGCTCCCCTGCCGTGATACAGGGAGATGAAGTTTTATTTACGATATTGAAAAAAGATATATCTACGGAGCCGGTACAGATACTGAGTTAGGATTTCAGACCTTTCCCGGTCTTAACTAACCCAGAGACGTAGAAATTGAGATGCCTGTACAACTAGTAGAAAATATTTTATATGCAAGTGGCCTTTTTAAAAGAAGTGCATTTTATAAAATATCCATTAAATTTACCATAAACTTTGTCTCTGAAGCATTTCTTGTCAGATAAATCGTTTTGAGCGTATTTAGGTTCAAACATTTGAAGTGAAATCCTGAAATACCTATACTTATGAAAAAGTTAAGCTTCTCTTATTCTGAAAACACCGTGAAGTTTGATATATGGCATGTGAAGAAGGCTATGGTACCTCGCTACAACATTAACTGGATAACATGCGTGTCTTATCCTCAATTAATAGTTTAAAAGCTTACCATTCATTAAGCCTTGCCTGTGCACGCCACTGATTTTGACAGCGTATTCGTTTTTCTTTGTAGGTAAACTTCAAAAAATACATAAAGCTAATAAGAATTAAACAGGACAATAATAAACATTATATTTGATACAACATACATATGTGGTAATTTCTAAGTTAATAAGAACATAACATTGGAAACAACAAATGATGCTGAATAAATGCTATAACATCCAACATAAAGGAGGTATTGAAAGTGACCACCTCTGGATTCAACACAAGCCCCTGATCTATATTCATAGGAACTTTTTACCCTAGTGATATTGGAACATCTTTCTGAAACACGCTCTATAAAAAAATTTCACAAATCCCAAAGGTCAGGTTTTCAGCTCACCAGCTGCCTGAACTTCTGCTTTATAGAGGTATTTTACATGAATTTCTGTTGTAAACATTATGTCACAATAATTGTAATGCACGCATGCACTTTAACTGTATAAAGTTTGATCATTGGGCATTAGCTTTCTCTGACAGCATAAAATAGAAACTAGGTGGTTGTTCATATAATTGACAGTAATGCTTCGATGCATCGTAGTGGATATTCAATAATCGACTTCTGACATGAAAAGATATCTACGTACTTTAAACACCCAAAAGATTAAAGTTAACACCACATAATGCTGAGAACTTCCCATATGGATCCGAATATACCTCGCTTGTTTCAGATTGCACACTACAAGTATGAGAAGGTCCTCAATCTTAAAGTCGCAGAACTCGGAGCTGATGATGGTGGTAGAAGATAAGAGAGAAGACGAAAACTCGAACAGTTCATCTGCGCAGAGCTCCGAAGATGAATCTACCTCCTTGAATCCTTTCTTGCTGTCTCATTATGCGAGAGAAATGAGGAAGCATTCCCTGCCCACGCCCCAGTGCACTGGTAAGTACAACTAACATTATGCATTTTGAAAATAATATTTTTATAATCAGGAACCACGTGCTTCTGAAAGCACAATTAAAGTTTCTGAAGTATGCAGAGAAATAATTAGCATCTATAAAAGCCAGCTGCATAGGAATGAGAATATTAAACTATTCAGAAGGCAAACACTGTTCGCGACGATGTCGTAGCCACCTCAAAATGAAAGGCATCTTCAAAAAATTTGTTTTGGTGGAAGTTCCACAAATCATATCCACTTAACTTATATATATATATATATATACAGCAGTAGTCATTGCTATTGCCAATGACCAGTTGGGCAAGAAATACAATCAATTGTTAATCGGGAAATTGACAAACATTTTTTTTTTAGGCTTTAGTAAACTGTTTTTACGGTAATCTCGAGCTTTCGGCATCTCTTTGGAGCCCTGTTCAGGAGCTGAAAACACAAATATGAAGCTAGCAGCCAATACGAGAAGGGTTTAAATTATCAGACAACTTACTTGCAGCCAAATGGTGTTTCAAAACGAAAACGTGAATGATGGTTTCCGTCATTATCAATAAACCCAATCTGTCCGTCCTTTTGGTTTTATATTTGTAACAAGTGCTCTCATCCACGCTTTCGTATTGAAACACCATTTGGCTGCAATCTCAATGACGAGTAAGTTGTCTGAAAATTTAAACCCTCCCCCTATTGGTTGCTAGCTTCAGATTTGCGTTTTCAGCTCCTGAAGATGGCTCCAAAGAGATGCCGAAAGCTATATATATATATATATATATATATATATATATATATATATATATATATCTTCCGCCTTTTGTTGGGTACTTCGACAAAATTTAAGCAAAGAGGACTCTTTATACTTTTTTTAATTCTCTCTAGCTTTCAATGGACTTTGCCATCATCATCAGGAGCTGCAATTACAATGATAACAGTAGCAACAAAGGTGTAAAATGAATTTAAATTGACTCAACTTACAGTAGTATGTGAGGATGTTGCTAATTGTTGTTTACGTCTAGGATGAGGGAAACGTCCAGTAACATGGTGAGAGCTGGATAGATTGTACAATAGTCAAACTTATATAAAATATGACAAGAACAAGTTAAAAACAGATTAAAAATTATTTAAAAAATTATTAGAGCATTACATCGTGAAGCCACTTGATGATTGCACAAATTAGTGGTCATGGAATGATGAGTGACATGAAACCCTTTGACAGAAGGCCGAAGGATGTCAATGTCAGTATTGAAAGATGGAACGAATTGTGGGCGTGTGCCAAAACGTTGCCAAATCACTTTAGATGATGAGATTTTCAGAATTTTATGTTAGAATTTGTTAAACCGACCAGAGGCAGTTGAATAAACTATATTATTATTAATGGGAATTAAAATTAACAATTATTAATAAATCGTGAGGAGAGAATTATTATATTTTGAGTGGAATGAAATTTACTGGTGGAATCGGCCAAAACACAGATTCTAATTATGGTTGTGAAGAGTTGAAATTTGGGGAGATATGTAAGTTCTCCAATTTTTCGCAGTTTAGCAAATATGAGTAAATGACACTCAGTTGTTTAACATCTGTCTTTTTGTTGATACAGTTGTTATTCATGAAAATGTGGGACATTTCCAGGAATAAACGTTTGGAAAGGTGTTTTTCTTTATCAAGAACTTTGATACTTGTGTAATTCATAGAATGCCCTGTTGTGTTAACATGAGATGCTAGAGCGCATCTTTCAGGATGAAGCCTAGCATCACTTTTGTGTGATGTAATCCTTCCTTTAAGAGATCTGGAGGTCTGACCTATGTATATTTGGTTGCAGTTGTTGCAATTGATGGAGTAGACTGTGTTGGTTAAGCCAAGCAGCGGGACTTTGTCTTTCATTTTTGAAAAAATGCAGTTTATAGTGAGGACGGATTTGCAAGCAATTCGAAAGTTCAAATGACTGCACAATCTGATCAGCTTAGGGGTCAGTTCCTTGATGTAGGGCAGGACAGCAAAACCAGGTCTGGAGTCCGGGTTGGTGCTTGTACTGTTAGGATTGATGTTATTATTGGGAATTACATCAGTTCCGTTATTAGGGGTTGTGCGACTATTACCTGCATCACCAGAGTTCGGCAAAATATTGGAAGGTGAACTAAAAATGATCTTGTTAATCAGACACTTCGGATAACCATTATTGATGAACAGTTTTGATAGTTTACGTAAATTTGAGGTGTGGAAGGTATTATCTGAGATGCTGATTACCCTTGTTTTCATCTGTTTTACCAAATTGATTTTAATCCCTAGCTTATGGTATGACCTAAAATTGAGAAACCGACCTGGGGCCATAGGTTTCTGGTACCAGTCTACCAATAAACTGTTGTTGTTGGTGCGAATGAGTCTTGTGTCTAGAAAGGGGACAGACAGGTTCTCATCTTCTTTTTCAATGGTAAATTGGATGTAGGGGTCATAGCTGTTGAATTCTCTGACAATACCATCCAGACCTATGGAAGGGAGGCATAAAATAATGTCATCTACGTATTTTTTTATGAAGAAGAGGTTATAGGGTAGTGTCGGAATAACAGTATCAAGCAGATCATCCATGACATATTCTGCCAAAATTGGTGACAGAACAGATCCCATAGGACAACCATGTGTTTGAGAATATATTTTGTTGTTGAAAGAGAAATAATTGTTATGAAAAAGGAATGTTATAATGTTGGTGAAAGATTCTAGAGATATGTTGCAGTGTTGACTTATCTCATTCCAGTGTTTATTAATAGTTCTTGTACATGCATCCAGATAGATGTTGCTGAATAGCGACACCACATCAAGACTGGCGATAATATGATCGGCTGGTATTGTCAATCTGTTGAACTGACGAGAGACTTCAAATGAGTCTTTGATGTAGTAATCATTATAATATCGACAACACTAAAATCAGCACATGCAGATAATGATTACTACATCAAAGACTCATTTGAAGTCTCTCGTCAGTTCAACAGATTGACAATACCAGCCGATCATATTATCGCCAGTCTTGATGTGGTGTCGCTATTCAGCAACATCTATCTGGATGCATGTACAAGAACTATTAATAAACACTGGAATGAGATAAGTCAACACTGCAACATATCTCTAGAATCTTTCACCAACATTATAACATTCCTTTTTCATAACAATTATTTCTCTTTCAACAACAAAATATATTCTCAAACACATGGTTGTCCTATGGGATCTGTTCTGTCACCAATTTTGGCAGAATATGTCATGGATGATCTGCTTGATACTGTTATTCCGACACTACCCTATAACCTCTTCTTCATAAAAAAATACGTAGATGACATTATTTTATGCCTCCCTTCCATAGGTCTGGATGGTATTGTCAGAGAATTCAACAGCTATGACCCCTACATCCAATTTACCATTGAAAAAGAAGATGAGAACCTGTCTGTCCCCTTTCTAGACACAAGACTCATTCGCACCAACAACAACAGTTTATTGGTAGACTGGTACCAGAAACCTATGGCCTCAGGTCGGTTTCTCAATTTTAGGTCATACCATAAGCTAGGGATTAAAATCAATTTGGTAAAACAGATGAAAACAAGGGTAATCAGCATCTCAGATAATACCTTCCACACCTCAAATTTACATAAAATATCAAAACTGTTCATCAATAATGGTTATCCGAAGTGTCTGATTAACAAGATCATTTTTAGTTCACCTTCCAATATTTTGCCGAACTCTGGTGATGCAGGTAATAGTCGCACAACCCCTAATAACGGAACTGATGTAATTCCCAATAATAACATCAATCCTAACAGTACAAGCACCAACCCGGACTCCAGACCTGGTTTTGCTGTCCTGCCCTACATCAAGGAACTGACCCCTAAGCTGATCAGATTGTGCAGTCCTTTGAACTTTCGAATTGCTTGCAAATCCGTCCTCACTATAAACTGCATTTTTTCAAAAATGAAAGACAAAGTCCCGCTGCTTGGCTTAACCAACACAGTCTACTCCATCAATTGCAACAACTGCAACCAAATATACATAGGTCAGACCTCCAGATCTCTTAAAGGAAGGATTATATCACACAAAAGTGATGCTAGGCTTCATCCTGAAAGATGCGCTCTAGCATCTCATGTTAACACAACAGGGCATTCTATGAATTACACAAGTATCAAAGTTCTTGATAAAGAAAAACACCTTTCCAAACGTTTATTCCTGGAAATGTCCCACATTTTCATGAATAACAACTGTATCAACAAAAAGACAGATGTTAAACAACTGAGTGTCATTTACTCATATTTGCTAAACTGCGAAAAATTGGAGAACTTACATATCTCCCCAAATTTCAACTCTTCACAACCATAATTAGAATCTGTGTTTTGGCCGATTCCACCAGTAAATTTCATTCCACTCAAAATATAATAATTCTCTCCTCACGATTTATTAATAATTGTTAATTTAAATTCCCATTAATAATAATATAGTTTATTCAACTGCCTCTGGTCGGTTTAACAAATTCTAACATAAAATTCTGAAAATCTCATCATCTAAAGTGATTTGGCAACGTTTTGGCACACGCCCACAATTCGTTCCATCTTTCAATACTGACATTGACATCCTTCGGCCTTCTGTCAAAGGGTTTCATGTCACTCATCATTCCATGACCACTAATTTGTGCAATCATTAAGTGGCTTCACGATGTAATGCTCTAATAATTTTTTAAATAATTTTTAATCTGTTTTTAACTTGTTCTTGTCATATTTTATATAAGTTTGACTATTGTACAATCTATCCAGCTCTCACCATGTTACTGGACGTTTCCCTCATCCTAGACGTAAACAACAATTAGCAACATCCTCACATACTACTGTAAGTTGAGTCAATTTAAATTCATTTTACACCTTTGTTGCTACTGTTATCATTGTAATTGCAGCTCCTGATGATGATGGCAAAGTCCATTGAAAGCTAGAGAGAATTAAAAAAAGTATAAAGAGTCCTCTTTGCTTAAATT